ATTACATTTTCGAAGTCAAACTTCTTACCGGCGTTAAAATATGACATATTATAGTATGTTTTTGACTTTGAAGTTTGACAACGGATTAGATTTTCGACTTGAAATTTGCTAATCGCAATTTGCAGCAATTAATTTGTAAATTGTATTCTAGGCAGTGTATCAAAATTTACTGTGTTTAAAGAAATAGTTTCGGACCTCTAAACTTAAAACAAACCAATTATGGCTCTGCGTACAACAAAGGTTTTATATAAGTTTCACTTCTTACGTGTGTACACCTAGTACACGCACACATTTTTTTATTGTTTAAACAAACAAAAGAAAGAGAGAAAGAAAAGTACTCCAATACTTGACTTTAGGTCCTATTTTCCCAGGTCAAGTTGACGGCCTCCAGACGGCACCAGATGTACCATGTCTACCTTGGACAGGTCTTTTAATTTCGTTTCAGGTTAGCTTCTTTTGCCTCTCCTATGATGCTCCGTAGCCAGGTCTATTTTGGGGCACCACGTTTTTTTTGCCATGGGGATTCTTGTCGAGAGTTTGCTTGGTAATGAGACATGGAATCCTCCGGAGCGAGCCCATCCACTTTCGGTGTGTTATAATTGTCAATTGGCAGCATAGCTCCAATCTGTATGATGTATGCAATCTCAGTTTCCTTCACACTAAGAGCAGGTGTGAATTGCGCTCATCCTTTCGTGCACAACCGGGACTCGAACTGCCCATTGAAGTATCTTTGAACCAATTCGACTTAGGGTTCGAGAAAGGAGCGTACCAATTCCTTAAAGGCCGGTAAGGCGAGCTCTTTGGCATTAAGAGTGTCATATTACTTCACATCAGGTGAGTTTAAGGCCTGTATTCTCTTTGATTAGTGCGAGTGCAAGTGATTAGTAATTGACGTGACGACGAAAGTGTGTAGTGCAAGTAGTGTCCAATTATTGTTTAGTGGCTCTGTTAAGTAAATTCAGTTGTCATATAGTTTGGCAGGCACGCTGCGAGTGAAGGGGAAGGGACGCGACGTCACTACTCGCAGCCAACTAATCACCTGCACTAATCAGTCGCTGTCCACACTTGTTTTCTCCTAATCACTAATCACCTGCACTAATCAGTCGCTGTTTACACATGTTTTCTCCTAATCACTAATCACCTGCACTAATCAGTCGCTGTCCACACTTGTTTTCTCCTAATCACTAATCACCTGCACTAATCAGTCGCTGTCCACACTTGTTTTCTCCTAATCACTAATCACCTGCACTAATCAGTCGCTGTCCACACTTGTTTTCTCCTAATCACTAATCACCTGCACTAATCAGTGTGTCCACTTTTAATCACTAATCACCTGCACTAATCAAAGTGAATACAGGCCTTAACGTTTGTTCTATAAAAAGCCTCGAAGCTTAACCACTTTAACACAGCGGGTGTTAAATTACTTCTGAATATTACTAAAACATTTCACAAACTCGCATTAATAACTCATTGTGGCACGAAATGAAACTCGGCTATTTTAAATACTTTCTCAACGTCCTTGTCTGGATATTTTTAAAGGGCTCGACGCACGTAAATTTAAAGCCTGCGACTGTCCAGTACCGGATTTAGAGGTCTGGAGGCCTCGGAGCAACAAAGGAGTGGAGGCAAAAAATAAAATTTTCCAAATAAAATGAACAATTTTTTTTAGTAGATTTTTTCAATCAATAATTTATTGTGGAATCAAGTAGATTTTAGTATTTAACAAACGTATAAAAATATATCAAAATAAAAGTTGTTTACTAGTGTTTACTTGTCGTAATTTCAAAAAAAATCCGTAGTCTCTATTGTCGCTCTTTGGTGGTGGCCCCGGGGCTCTAGTCCCTGTTGCTCTCCCCTAAACCTGGCTCTGTCGTCATATTCCTTTGAACTTTGTTCATGTATCTTTGCTATAGCGACACTTGGATATGTAGCCTTCCTATTAAGCTAAAGATTATTATTATTATTATTAAGTCTTTATTGCTGACAGCCCGTATAATATATATAAACATTTCTTTAAGTTACATAACCTAACTTAATCTAATACATGACCCGTTTTTGGTAATCAGCGTGTCATATGTGACACAAAGGCCTCTTCCATTATTTTCTTATGCTAGCTCTTCCTGTGTAAGTTGAGCCTTCAATTCTCTTTATATCGTCTGCCCATCTCTTGCCCTGTCTTCCTCTTTTCCTTTTTCCATCTCGTGGTTGCCATTCTGTAATTATTTTTGCCCATTTCAACCTGCTATCTCTCATGAGCCCGGTCCAGCGCCATTTCAATTGCCTTATTGTCTTTATAATATCCTCTACTTTGGTCGTTAATCTAATCTCTTCTGCTCTTTTGCTCAGTGTTACACCCATCATGCTTCTTTCAATTCGACTTGGCATGTTCTCAACTTTGGATGTATCTGAGATGTATATACGTAAGTTACACATGGTAAGATACATAAATTGAACACCTTTTTCTTAGCTACCATTGGGAAGTCTTTACTTTTAAGCTAAAGATTAGATCAACTCAAAGTGCTATGGTGAGAAGTATACTTGATATAAAGAAGATACACGAAGCAAAAGAGAATATATTAGTCATAAAACTATAGCAACCAATCACAAAGTTTGAAACTAAAATGGCAATGGCTGGTTATGTAAGATGATACCTAGACAACAGACGGAAAGGACTACCCGGGAAAGGAAGAGTGGGCAGGCCAAAAAGAAGGTGGGCTGACTTGATAGAAATAGCAGGAAAAGACGGCAGACAATAGTCTGTGCCTCTATCTTTGCCTATTGACTAGGCAACTACAAAGGGTTGGCTCTTCACCCAAGAGCCATATCCACAGGCGACTAACAAGTTACTACTAACAGTTGGCTTCTTTTTTTCTTTTTCTGGCAAACGAGCCTATGGATCGCACAAAAAGGGCAGTCACTATGGACACATATTTGAGTGGGTGCACTTCAGGCTTTTGAAGTATGCTCTCTTTTTTTAAACCGTTAAAAATCGTACGTCCCAGGGAAGACCCCTAACGGGAGTCGACACCACAGTTCGCTAGTGCGCAAAATAAAATTTATTTTGAACTAACAACGTTTAGAAATAAAAAAGGCTTTAATATTATTATGAATATCCTCAATAAATGTGCTATAACACAAATAATTATTTTCATAGTAGTTCCCAAAATTTAGTTCCGGCAAAACATTTGAAACATACTGTATTTGTTTATCATTTATCATATGCACTTGCATTCAGAGACACACCCAAAAGAGAATTATTACTCGTAATCTACGAATTAATTCAAATACCAACTTCACGGCAACGATGGTTTTTGGAATTTCAATTAGCTTGAGTGCAATCGAAACGCAGAGTTAAGATATGATGGCCTCCGTTTAAAGATATCTGTTTCATCTGTTCCAATTGTCTAGTTAAATTTCTAAATTACTATAGGCCTAGATAGTAGATCCATGATCACACTCTAAGCCAACACCATGGGCGACTTTTTGGGTCTAAGGCAAGCCGGTTTCCTTACGATGTTTTTCTTCACTGTACGGGTGTTAAATGCGCACATAGAGTCCATTGGTGCTGCTGGGCATCGAACCTACGACCCCAGTGACGGGTCTCACCCTGAATCAGGCCAGTGTGTCCCCACGTGGGGCCCACGCCCCACAAGGGGATAAATTAATTGTTAAGGGGTTATTCCAAAACTTATTAAACTTATTTGGAATTTGAATTTCAGCTTTACATTAAATGTTTTGAAATTTACTTCTTAAGTGAACAATTCAATTTTTTTAATATTAAAAATTATTTATGTTACATAAGGGTTCGGGGATAAATCGTTGGGAAACACTTTTTTAACTTAGTTTTATATGCCTAATGGACAGGACGAAATTGTAGCATGCGCGGGTGGAAGTTGGCTAGACAGAGGTAACGACAGAGAAGGATGCAATTCCTTGGGGGAGGCTTTTACCCGTATGGGGTCCATTAAATGGGGGCATTAAATTATAAAAATAATAATAATATATTAAATAAAATTATTTAATTAATAATCAAACAATAAATAAATTAAACAAATAATAATTACAAAATACAATTCATGATTAGAAATAAAATAATTCATACAAGCCTAACAACTGTTATTGATTATTATAGACTAATAAGAACCAAATTGTATTGTTAATTATGTACTATGCATGGAATTAAATAAATCTTTATTATTATTATTTATTATTAATGGACAGGACGAATACATTTTCTTTTAAAAATATGCAATATTAAACCAGCAGCTATTTTCATGTAACAGATTTAATATTAAATAGAAACACAAAAATTTAATAAAACCTCAATGCCTGAGATAGGAATGAATATCGCTTTCTTAATATAAAAATCTATTGAAAATCTTATGAGAAGAGCTTGAAATATCGAGTACCCAAGTTGAGAGATTCTTAGCGGTCTGAGATAATATTTTATTATTCTCGGCGAACATAAAATTAAATTGTACTGAAAGATTATTATTGAAATTAATTTAATTGTATTTATTAAGGTCGATTATAATTTGTGGCGCTTTAATCTTTTTTAGGTCTGGGCCCACGATTTCTGTATCTGTTTCATGATCATTTGTCAATCAAATAGGCAAGTAGGTGATCAGCTTCCTGTCACACGCCGTCGACTTTTTGGGTGTAAAGCCGGTTTCCATCACCGTTTGAGCGAATGTTAAATGCGCAAATAGAAAGTACATAAGTCCATTAGTGTACAGCTGAGGATCGAACCGACGGCCTCAAGGATGATAGTAGTACACTGAAGCCACTAGGCCAACACTGCTTTTTAATAATATTAAAATAAAATGTATATAAAATTTGCAACGTCATAATATTTTCTTGTAACTTTAAGCATAAGTACGTGTTTTTTTTATAATAAATAAAAAACATTATACCAGGGCTGGATTATTTTTAGTATTAGTATTTAATTTTGTATTTAAAAGAAATAAAACACAATTGAAAAATAAATTTTATACTTAAAACTACTTATTTAATTTAGTCGCAAAAATAACAGACAGTAAAAAGCTAAAACTACAAATCTTTAGTACCAGGCGAGCAAAGTCTGGCGCAGGGTTACGGGTACCACAACACAGGGGACAAACTAGCCAGTTAAATGTCTCGTTCTCATATAATTGTACTAGGATATCATCAGCGTTGATGAGTAGATATAATTGTAGAGGCCGCCAGATGTACAGCAGCGAACATTCTAAAAGAAACAGCGAGAGAAGAGTCTGAAATATGTGTCTGGAGTTAATATGTGCTTAATATCTGCAAAAAAGCGGCACCGCCGTTCTATCCTCTTATTTTATTTTTTTATTGAGGGGAATGCATTTCCGAACTGAGTGTGGGACTCGCTCTAAAAGCCTTACCCACAAAATCCCTCCCACCAATAACGTCACTGTAGGGGTAACTTAGGGTCGCGTAAGCATTCTACCAACAGACCCCATGACCACCGTTCTATCCTGGTCTCGAAGCAGTTCAGGCAATTTTCCACCTGTAACTTTGTGGTGGATAAAATTAGAAGCCTGAAGTTACCAAGCAGGGATTGTAAAAACACGGTAAATTTTAAATTCCATTCAATTTGATGGTTCCAATTGAATGAAGTTAGTAGTTTAAGGATCATAACTAGTCGTATTTATTAATTCTGTCTGACGGATCATTGGAACTTTAAGGCACTTCTAGCAGACATAGAAGATCCAAATTTAGAACGACAGAGGGTCACTTAAGTGGGTATTGAATAACTGATTTGGTATTACATGGATCTCACAACTTTTTACGGTAGAAGAACTGCGTGGCGACACTTAATTTTCTTTAAAAGTTGTTTTTTTGAATGGCATAATTATAACTAAGAATGATATCTGTGGAGATCGGATCATGCGCTAAAATAAATCGGATACTGTCCGATGTCTATTTCTGAATTAGAATTTCACTGGCAGGTTTAAACTGAAACCCAGGGACGTGAGACATGATCTATTTTAACGAGAATTTTTATTTTTAAGCTGTTGTTTACTAGACTAAAAACCTACAAATCCAGCTAGCTAGTCGTATAATTTGTTGTCTGTCTAATTTGAATCAAATCCAAGACTTGAAAATAGATTGTATATTATACATTTCCATTAAGCCATAGATAGGGCTTGGGTAGTATTTAATTATGTTGTAACTATAAATCTAAAAACAATTTGATTATTCCAAACACACAATAAATACATACATCAGTGAAGCTACAACCTCTTTAGGTCTTGGCCTCAGATTTCTAAATCTGTTTCATGATCATTTTTAAATCTAATAGGCAAGTAGGTGTTCAGCCTCCAGTGCCTGACACACGCCGTCGACTTTTTGGGTCGAAGACATGTCGGTTTCCTCACGATGTTCTCCTTCACCGGTCGAGCGAATGTTAAATGCGCACATAGAAAGTCCATTGGTGCACAGCCGGGGATCGAACCTACGACCTCAGGTCTAAGGCCAACACTGCCTAAACACAATAAATACAGACAAGTAAAAACTACCAGGACCTTATAAGTATAAAGAGCTTACCTCAAATAGAAAGCTTATAGGTGAGTACAAACGTAGCACAGAGATTACTCGCAGCTCTTCCAGAAGGATACAGATACTGAGAAGAAAAACTATGTTTGACGGAAAGAAGTCCTCTAATAAAAGGTTTACTGTAACAATGAATTATATTGTATTATATTATACTGTATTATATTATATATATAGTATGGAAAGGAGCATACTAGGTTACACACGGAATGATAGGAAAAGAGCTGTAGATCTCCGAAGGATCACCAACTGGGAAGATGCAATGATCGGAGCCAAAAGGCTTAAATGGAGATGGACAGGATACCTGCACAAAGCACAATTCGGAAATACTCAATGGACACCTCGCTCAACACCAAGAGAAAGAGAGGAAGACCATGTGCGCGGTGGGCTGATGACTTTAAAAAAGCGATTGGTCCTCTGTGGCAAAGACTTGCCAGGGATAGGTAGCACTGGAAACAGCTGGAGTAGGCCTTGGTGCCACAAAGGCAAGCTGTACAAGAGGACAGCTGTGCAACAAAACCTTAGAACTTTTTTTATATGCATTTATATTTTTTGTAAACTTTCTCTTGTATTAGTTGAAATAAAGGCTTTGAATCTTGAATACTGTTGCTTGCTATATTGCGGTGAAAAATACTGGCTTAATGAAGTGATTTCCGTTGACCTGTGAATCAGATATACCCTGCAAATATCCTACAGATTATAATAAATATAGACCACAAGACAGTACCTAAACAGTAAATATAGACCCCAACGTTGGTAGTCAAGTAACCGCTGACTGCTTTATAGCCATGAATTTCTGTTACAGTGTATTTCTCCAGAACCGTTTTAAATAAAAATAAAAAATAAAATTTTTTTATTATGGAATATAAGATACAGGTATCACTTATTCCACGTCATTAAATTTGAATCCCTACTCATCGGCAAAGAAACAGAGGGTGTAGGCCGAGAGAAAAGGCCGCGTAAAGAACTCTCGGTACACTTTTAAAATAGCATCAAGAACACTTATTTTAAAATAAATATCCCAAATTAATTAAAAGTAGCCTGTCTAGCACTAGTCCTAGGCCCTTTCATCAACTAGATAATCGTTAACTTTATAGTAAGCATTTTTACACAGCTTTTCTTTAATACATTTCAAATAATTTAAATTTAGTAAAAGTCAGAGATAATAGAGCCTCTGGGATTTTATTAAAGAAAAGTATCCCTTTTCCCAAAAAAAAAATACTAACTTTAGATAGTCTTAGTATTAACATTGTGCGTATGTTCTATTCTAGTAAACTTATCACTATTTTTGTATACATACATATTTTCATAAATATATTGCGAGGGAAAGGTACGTATATTAATTTTCTTGAATTCCCTCAGAGATCTACATTTTAAATTATAGATTGTACTACAATAAATATAGAACACAAGAACTTTGGTAGTCTCGTCATAGTTGAGTTATTGGCCTGTTGTTGAAAGCATGATAGCAGGATTGTGCACAAATCTTATGGTGCCAGTTCCAATCAATCAGTTCAGTACACCCAGGAGTGACAATAAACGGGAATAGAGACACAAAGAACGAGGTTCTGTTAGATGGTGGGATGATTTGAAGTTAAATTACCTGGCACTAACACGTCCTGGCATCAGCGTTCTTGACTATGGCTAGTAGATCTGAGATCACGTGAAATAAAGGTATCTTCACGAATTGTGACTGTTCTCATGTTACTGGTAATACGTCTGGTAGCACGGGGTTATGTTTATTTTGTATAATTAACATTTATAAACACTTCAAACTTACCATTGTGTAATAAATTTAATTCGCTAACAATTAATGCGAGTGCCACTAAAACGGCGCTCGAGTTTGTCATCTCCAAGTTCCAAAACACATGATTAGTTTATTTCTTTTTGACATTTTGGAAGCCATTATGATACAGAATAAAAAACTAAGTCAAGATTAGACAGAGCAGCTTCAGTGAATAATAATTTTCCAACCATAAAGGTTTTAATCGAAGCGAGAATTCAGTGAAATCGGAAATTTCCTCGAAAAAGAAAACTAAGATAAAACTTGAAGCGCACATTTAATGAAAACACTTTTTTAACGGATTGAAGCTATGTATTATTATAAACTTATAATTATTTTACATAATTTTAATTTTTTCCGACGTTTCGCGTGCTTTACAGCGTGCGTGGTCACGGTGACATTTAAAATTATGTTAAATAATTATAAGTTTATAATAATACATAGTTTTAATCCGTTAAAAAAGTGTTTTCTTTAAATGCGTAAAAGTTATGTTACTAAAAGCGAACATTTAAACTTATTTGCGAAAATTCTAAAAACTTGACCTTTTGAGCCAGCGTATAAATAGTAAAATAAAGAATAAAATAAAATATGTTTATTATGCAACATAAGATACAGGTATCACTTATATCACGTCATTAAATTTGAAAAGAAGACAAAGGTGTAGGCCGAGAGAAAAAGCCGGCGTAAAAAACTCACGGTACTCTTTTAAAGTAGCAAATCATCAGACAACACTTATTTTAAACTACTACTAGTCCCAGTAGTACAAAATCTGGACCTGTAGGTGATATATTTTTTCATGCAAACAGAATAGGCTAAACTGATATTAACTGAGACCGCCGCCCATTGACACTCACATTGCCAGAAGGCTTGCGTTGACGGACCCAAGGTTTGGTACGCTCTCTTCTCGAAGTCGAATTGGTTCGGAAATACTTCAGGTGGTTCCACCTTGTGGTCGTATGCGGCAAAAACTGCCTTAAAACCGCTCAGTTGGGGAAGGGACGTCGAGGTGATACGGGCACTAAAAATGGAACCTACGACCTTAGGGATGAGTGTCGCACGCTGAAGCTACTCGGCCAACATTGATAAGAGCAACATATAGATATTTAATCACTACAAGCGATGGCAGGCGTGCGGATGGGATGTCGTTGATCTCTTGGAAGATGGGACAGGCTTTGGTGGGATGCTACTTGACACGATAGCCCCGTCTCACCTCCCTCGGAAAAGCAAAAAGTTGGGGCGGCCGCAGAGCAGACGGAACATAATAAGTCTTTAGGAGTGTTTCCTTCAACTTTGATTTTGTTCCCTTTGGAGTAGGAGACTCTAGGGCCGTGGGGTTCAAGTGCACAGGCGCTAATTAAAGATCTAAGATGGCGCCTGGTAGATAGTACCGGTGACCGCAGAGCTGATGCTTTCTTCAACGAATAAGTATCGCAATACAGCGAGGAAATGCTGCCAGTGTTAAAGTTACACTGCCACAGGGCTCAAACGTTTTAAATTTGTTGATGTAAACCATCTATAGCCGCACGTAAAACCGATTTCTGGCGTGGCGACGCATGCCGTGGCGACGCGCTATATGATGGTATATATATATACAGTCTATATGCAGTAGTGTGTACGGTGTGTGTATTTCGAAGTCACTGATTAAACGAATTAAGTAGTCGAATTTGAAATAAATTCGTAAATTTTTGTATTTAATGAAAATAAATGTTTATTCAATAAATAGTCATCGTTATCTGGAAAAAATATCGTAATATTTTATTTTATCATTATGACATATTTAGTTCCTATCACAATCTGTTCTTTTCTGCATATTAGTTTTACAAAAAATTGTTAGGCGTCTCGTGACGACTCACATTTTTTAAATTTTCTTATTATAAATTTTTAATTATTTTTACTACTTAGGTTAAGAAAATTGTATATACTGTGTATTTGATTGTTATGTCTAGGTTTTACTAAACGATTCAGTGCATTAGATGTAAGTACTATTATATTAAGGGTCTGTTTCACAATGTACGGATAAGTTCTACATAAGTTCCCAATAAGCTATTTATTACTTATTGGTAGGATAAACACTATTGTTGCGTTTCACGACTGTCAGATAGCGCTATTCGTCACATAAAGTCCATCATAAGTTATGAGTTCGATGAATGTCAATAAGCACAATTTATCTTCCAAATAATTTATGTGTTGCATAGCTATTTGGTACTTTATCTATACATTGTGAAACAGACCCTAAGCATTATTTCGTAAGAAAATATGTAGATACCAAAAATGTATATAGCTATCCATATTTAAAATACCATAATCATTTTAAAACATCGAATGAAAATCAATTGTTCACGAAATCCGCTTTCTATAAAACAGTACTCGGAAAATCCATCTAGCTGAATAATGAAATCGCTCGTAAAATGTACATTAAACTTTTATTTAATGTAGACACTGCACTAAGGACATAAAAACTGGTTCTGTACGTTTGTGAGTAGTTATTTTGGAACTTAAAAAGCGTCTAAAATCTTGCTTTATAGATATATTCAAATTCAACATCATTTATTAATTTAGGTAACACAATGTACACTTATGAACGTCAATAAAGAAATACATATTAAATGCTTCTAATTTTACATTTACTGCCAGTTCTCAAATCAAGGGTGTACAGATATAAGATATAAATCTATTTTTAGAACAATTTAGCAAATAGTATAAAAATACATAAAAGACGTGCATTATCAATATTTCATTGCTAAGACAAATTGAGCTGTTCTCTGAGTACACTTTAAAAAATCAGTTTGTATATTCAGTATAGTCTTTGCAAATGATATCGTAATAGAAAATTGTTCATAAAACTACATGTTTTGTGTTGTAACAATAGTTATAATTTCCGTTTAGTATTAGAAATATCTTTAACAAACCAAAAACAATAAAACAACTATGAAATATAATTCAATATGGCCGATATAATAAATGGAATTTCACGAGAATACGATGAATGAAACTTATATAATAATAATCATAGCGGTTATATTAAATGTAAATGCTTTAGAACTAGTTGAGTTAGTGGATGAATCGTTACAAACAGGAGAAGCTGAAATGAGTGAGTTAGACGTAAGACATACAGGTAGCGAAGAGGAGATCAAAACATTCTTAGAAGAGAGATATAAATTTAGAAATGATAATACGTCAACAAGGTATAGAATACAATTTGGGGAAAGATTAGATCCAAGTGAGTATTCTGAGCAGCTTGATTCCGAGATGTGGTGTCACTCTGCACCTTCTTACCTTATTTACAATGGAGAGTGTTCAAGTTGTCGGATTAGTAGATGCACATGGTTTCATCAGTGGAACCAGCTGCCCACTCAAGTATTACTGAACCAATCAGGCATAGGGTCCTTCCAGAGAAAAGCGTACCAATTTTTATATGACCTTTGGTTTGGACCCTGTTCTATAGACGTAGACTTGACTGGAATATCGCGCTATTTAAAATATTTTGGACGTAAATATAGCTTATTGTGGATTTATCTAGCATTCTAATGGCAAAATATTTTTTTAAATCGGTTCATCATCCACAATTCTTACCTCTCTTTACAATTTCATAGTAACTCAAAATGTTGGCAAAATTATAAAAGAGCCGCGGACAGTTTCTTATCAGTTTTTCACGCTCTACGCCTTGATTTGGGAACGGGTAGTAAATGTGAATTTAGATCTTCTTACTCCTGACGTTCATAACTGTACAAATTACCAATATAAATAAATTTAGATTTGATTTATTTTATTTATTTACTCAACTATTTATAATAGACAATGTCAGCGCACACAATAAATAAAAACTAAATTTAAAGTTTATGAAACTTTTGCACGCAGTGTTATGCCCAGATGTACACCATCATATCCCGGTAGAATGCGACAGCGACCCCGGAGCCTCTGTAACGCGGCTTTGTCGGAACTACTCGAGGTGGTTTTAGTGGGTATTGCTCACCCAGTCTCTGAATAGCAGAGATTTTGGCGTGGGCTGAGTCCCAGATACCCCTGTTCAGATGATGCGCAAATGCATTTCCACCTCGGATATCAAAAAAAAAAAGATGTACACCATCATACAATTCCTTATCCAAACTTAAACAATTAAATTCCTACTAGATTATAAGATCTTAAAGGTCAAACATACTACAAAACACCAACTCGACACCCGATTCCATCGTCACATTCCCCAACACCCCACACAACAACACACTTGCAAATTCAGAAGTCATTTAGCTGACAATACATTTTTGCCAAAACGAACGTTTGAAGGGGGGGGAAAAAAAAAAAAAAAAAAGGGGGGGGGGGGAGGGGGGGGGGGCAATAAAGGGGGGCGCAAACAACACGACAACACATTGGTTACGGTCTGGCGTGTACATTTGATTCATTCCTATGAGGATATATTTATTATAGTACTTACTTTTGAATTCATAATAATAAGTATTTTCACCTAAGTTGTATATTCTGGAATAAATGTTCTTACGGTTTTTCAGAATCAGATAGTGATCGTCACTTGGCATGGGCTTTTCGGACATATGCCGTGCGCCGAATTGTGGGGGGCATGGAGACTAGCATATGCATGTATCCATACAACGTTGCGATATCCAGGAATGGAAAGCATTGGTGTGGAGGCTCTATAATTGATGAGCAGTGGGTGCTGACAGCAGGTCATTGTTTGGAATCGTATGTATTCCATTTTATAAATGAAACGACCGTATTAGTTCACAATTTTTTTAAAGCTGGCTTTGATCAGATCATTATCTAATATTTAAAATTCTCGTGTCACAATGTTCGTTCCCATACTCCTCCGAAACGGATCGACTGATTCTTATGAAATGTTTTACGCATATTTAGTGAGTCTGAGAATCGGCTACTATCAATTTTGTAAAATCCTAAAAATTAATTTTAATTTTTTAGATAAAATCTTTTGTTTATATTCTTTTATGATACAGCATACAAAAATACATACAACCCCTAATTTTCACCTCTCGACCCGTATTTTTTATTTGTTAATTTAAAACTTATGACTTGAACTCAGAGGTTTATATAGAATAATAGAGAGAGGTACTAAAATGGTAGGCTAAGTAAAATCACATTAAGGAGAAGCGAAGTTCGCGGGGGCTGAAAAAAGAAACTGAGAGAGTTTTAAGCCATAAGTTACTAGATGGTAAAGTCTCATTAACTAATATAGATATGTAGGTAATATAAGAAAGTGTACAATAACAGTGTCTATTAAGGGGAAGACACTCTGTTCTTGTTTTCTTTTTTTCACTTACCAAAGTATATCCCAGAAAAACACATGGCGCTACAACCTTTTAAAGTCTGGGCATCAGATATTATATATGTATGGTTTTGTGTTTTGTAGTAGGCAAGAATGTGATCAGACTTTTTGGGTCTAAGGCAAGCCGGTTTCCTCACTATGTTTTCCTTCACCGTACCTGCGTGTGTTAAATTCGCACATAGACAGAAATGCCACTGATGCACAAACGGGATTCGAACCTACAACCTCAGGGACGTCACACACTGAATCCACTAGACCAAAACGTAAACAAAATGTAAGAAATAATCGCATACTTGAAGCCAATACGAGCCCTTTAGTTTTTACCACACTCATAAAATGTAATTTAACATTCTCGTTTCCGATAATGTCTAATAATATAAGTGTCACTTAGATTTAAGAACCCTTAACAATTACCTTAATTAAAGAACAATTAAAGCCAGTTATTAAAAAAAAGGCTTACTATAAAGTTAACGATTATCTAGTTGATAAAAAGGCCTGGGACTAGTGCTAGACAGGCTACTTCTAATTAATTTGCGATATTTGTTTTAAAATAAGTGTTGTTTGATGATTTGCTATTTTAAAAGAGAACCGAGAGTTTTTTACGACGGGGCTTTTTCTCTCGGCCTACACCCTGTCTTCTTTGCCGATGAGACCTAATTAATAATTTAATGACGTGGAATAACTGATACCTGTATCTTATGTTCCATTACAAACATATTTTTATAATTTATTTTAAACAAAGTCTTCCATTTAACATATATCTGAACATATACATAAAACAACCGCGACCGAAATTAACACAGATAATAACGTTTTTATTGTGTAACAAACCCGCTTTTTAAACTATTTGAATATAAATTTCTACAGTTACGTTTTAAGCCTGAAATTTAAGAGTTAACCCTTTCAGTATTCATGATGACGATAAGAAGAAATTGACACAGTTCATTGTAAGAGCTGGTAGTTCGTTTCACAATCGTGGCGGGTATCAGGCCAGAATCAATAAGGTTTGTTTTATTATTAATAGTTTATGGGACAAATGGGTAGACACATCATGATGCTTAGATGGACACGTGCACGTTCACGTGCGGGCGTGTAGCATGTTTTAAAGAGCGCTCTTTTCTTAAAGGTTTGATACCTAACAAGATTTGAAAATCGAATTGCAGAAATATTGAAGATTGTTGAAAAATGCGCGCTTGTCTTGTTTTTTTCTGCCTGTTTACGCCTGTGTCTTTAGGAGATCTTAAATAAGTTTATTTTATGCAACTATTAATAATTCAATTTACGCATAATAGTTATTAAGTTACATAGTACACAGTGAGGAAACGTTAGTAAAACAGATATTACACAAAAGAAATACGCAGTTACACTCGGCGTCTTTCGTTCCACAACTGAGCGTTTTAAGGTAGTTCTTGCCTACTGAAGTACTTCCGAAACCATTCGACTTAGGATCCAAGGAAAGAGCGTACAGATTCTTAAACTTCTTCTTTCTTGCCTTCTGGCAAGTTCGTTGCCGACTTAACATCAGGTGAGCTTCAAGCCCCCATGTTATATAAAAATAAAAATAAAACATTTGACACATTTAAAACAAAAAGATTTGTTCGATTAAAAAAGTGGAACGCATTTGAAATCAAAGGAAAGATGAAAGATAAATGAAGGAGAGGAGATTCCAGACTTATCTTTTAATTAATGATTACCCATTGAGAACGCTGTATAGCTCAAATGTTTCGAGACGCCTTTGGGCACCCTTGAAGAGCTCGCGATAAAAAGATATTCTGAAAGGAATTGAGTGTAATAAACTTGTTTCATTCAATTATGTTTCATAACTTCTATTTTTTATCATTAAATTTAATATATATGTACTGTGTGTAATAATCTATGAAGTATTACTTGTTGATATTTAGTAAACAGTTTGCGGGTTTAGTCTAAATTTATATAATATATAATTCTTCTGTGAGTGTGTATGTCACTGAACTTCTCTCAAACGACTGGACCGATTTTGATGAAATTTTTTGTGTGTGTTCAAGGGGATCTGGGAATGGTTTAGATTCACAAATCAGCCAGGCAGATGGCACTGCAGTCGGTACTTTCATACTTTGCTTAATATCCTAATCGCTTTAAATATCATGCAGGACAACGTCTGTGGGGTCCACTAGTTTATATAATAAAACTACATAATTACTATTAATAAAATAGGGTAAGGTTTTATTATAATAATAAATAATATTAAATCCTTTTTTTGCCAAGATAGTGGTACAATTAGATTGAACAACAAGAAAATCCGCACAATCAGCCATATATAAATAGGCATGCAAATGTCATATAATTTTTTTGCAATGTCATACAATAAGAACGTTAACATAATGTTGTTATATATATTTACCAAAAACTCAATACTATTTGACTGATTGAAATAGGATTTATTTATTTGCGAAATATTAATAAAATATCCAGACTCAATAAGGCAGAAGACCCTACTGTATAAAATTCTACAGGAATATTGTTTAAATAAGTAAGAAATAAATAATAATAAATGTTTTCGGAGAAGTCTAGATTTTTGTTTATAAGGTAGCCAACAGCTTTTATAAAAATTATAAAACCACATGTATGGGTTAACAAAGAAGAAGAAGAAGATTGCCATGAACGGCCTACCCTGATGAAATATTTTCTTTACTATATTTTTGGGCATTTTCATGCAGTTGCTAGCAGTTCTGATAATTTTCCAGGTATTCTTTCATAATGAATTTGCCCCTGGCGCTGCAGACTTTGACTACAGCCTGATTCGCCTTGACAGGCCCATGCCGATTGGTAGAAATATAGCTGTTTTAAATCTACCCTCACAGGATTATGATATCAAACCCGAAGATATTCTTATTGTTACCGGCTGGGGGAGCACTGACGTAAGTTTTCTGAGTATTTTTATCACCATACCTAAAATTTAATCGTTTTCGCGCCGCTGTATACTGGAGCTTAAGCTATGTTAACATAGACATTAAAAATAGTCCGTTTCGAGTCTCGTTGTTATATAACCATAATATATAAGTGAATAAGTGCAACATAGAATATAAGAACAGTGTCCCCAAATAGATATTCTAAGTAGTGTTAGTTACAGTAACACAGATTTTTAATCATTACGGAGAAAGCACATCTCTCTGCATCTTCTACTGCATTTACCATGGAGAGTGTTCAGAGGAGTTGTTCAGATTAATAGCTGCAGCTGAGTTTCATCATTAAATGTCGAGGCAGAATACGAAATTCGTCGAAGTCCATCGTTCCACAACTGAGCGTTTTTAAGGCAGTTTTTGCATCACCACTATGTGGAACTAGCTGCCTACTGAAGTATTTCCGAACCAATTCCACTTAGTGGTGATGCTGGTTCCACTGTGATGCAAAAACTGCCTTAAAAAGCTCTCATTTGCGGAACGACGGATATCCAGGTGTTACTCGTATGTTTTTGATGGCATAACATTTTAACATCGAACACTTTCAGGAATCTGGTTACGGCCATATCCCGGATCGGCTCCGTTTTGTCCCCGTGCCGGTGATGCAAGTAGAGACTTGTCAGAAGGCTTATAACTTCTACATCACACCAAGGATGATATGTGCTGGGTATGCAACAGGGGGCAAAGATGCTTGTAATGTAAGTACCTGCATGTATCACGAGATGAAGCAGAAATGATAAATAAAATCAAAATAACTTTATTCATATAGGTAAACTACTACTACACTTATGAATGTCAGAAAAGATGTTAAATTAATTCTAAATTTACATTTACTACCAGTTCGCAAGTCAAGGGTGTAGAGCGGGCAAGAAGAACTGGCAATAAACATTCCGCCACTCTTTTTAATCGCTAAGTTTTGAGTCATACAAGTTGTTTGAACTGAAGCAAATTAATCCCAAGGATTAGGATCATTTAAATAATCGTCAAATTTATAAAATCGTTATCGATTAATTTACGTTTAACGAGACTTTTGAATTTATTCAATGATAATTCACTAATTTCGCTTGGGAGTTTGTTGTAAAAATAAATCAACCCTTAATATAATAATAATTTATTCGCTAACCAAATACATTTACATAATTTTAACCTAAGTGATAACATACATTTGAACTATTTTTTTTTATCAGCAGCCTGTTGGTTAGGTTGTCTTCTGACATAGTCCTCCCCTTGTTTCCACTCGTCTCTTTCACAAGCTGATCTCCACTATCCTTCCGGCATATAATATTCCCTTCTCTTTATTTGACGGCTTCTTCCTTCTCTATGGCATTCTATGAGATCTTTTGTCCATTTTTAGTGGTTAGAGTAACTAATGGTCAAATATCAAACCATTAGTCAAAAAAGTTAATTACTCAGTATCGGAGGCCGAGAACAAGACGGCCGCTGGTTATTTATATAGTAGCAGCTGTTTGTCACAGAAATCAAACTATGATAAATACGTTTATTACTATCTAATGATGAATTTTAACATAGTGAGATACTTTAATGAGACGATGAAGAAGATATATATTTGAATATGATATTATATTTAAATGTGTTAATGAGAAGACCATTAGAAACCTGGGATGATGTAGATTTTTGTCACCGTTACCCCCTATCGAAGGGAACAGTGCTCTGGATTGTTACTGAAATTGGGGAATTAGTTTAATACTAACAGAATTCACGAGTCAATCAAGAGTTGCATTATTTGTAATGCCAATAGTTAAAAATTAACGAATCAATGATATCATCTCAGAAAAGTATAACAATAATCAGCAGAATTTTCCAAATTCCGTCTGCAAAAACCAACCTATGATTTCAGGCACTGTTTCGAATTCTTCGCAATTAAAACGGATTTAACAGTATTTATCCGGAGCTGGATATATTCGGTAGTGGGCTGATCAGTTTTAGAGAAAGCATTGTTAAGTGCCTATCATACCTGTTTTGCTGGTTATTATCTGCCAAAATAGTCATATATTTTCGATAAAAGGGCTTGTAACATATACCGTAGATATAGTATTATTTATGATGAGGTAAATCAGTAAATATATAAAATAAATAATCCCCAGCACGACTCAGGTGGGCCAGCAGTGCGTGACGGCGTACTTCTGGGGATTGTGTCTTTCGGTGGTAAACAGTGCGGCGACCCTCGCTCACCTGGTAAATTATTAATATTGTTTATAGTTCCCAGCAAATAAGTTAGTCAAAATTGTATGCACAGAAGACGCTTTATTATTTTAAAACAACAGAAGCAAAAACATTGAGAGAAAACTTTAAGTCCAAAAATCAAGTAAGTCCGGCACATCAGACCTGATCATCTACTTGCCTATTAGAGAATCATTACAACACAAATAACTATATCTGATACCATCACCAAGGGTTGTAGTGCAAGTGCGAAAATAAGGTATTAATTACAAAAGTGAAAATGTGTCAAACACTGCAGATTGTCAGTTTGTGAATGATGTTGATGCTGATGTTGAACCGCCCATGCCCATGAACACTCAAATTGCCAGAAGGCTCGCAAATGCCAGCCTCTTAAGTCGGTTTGGTACGCTTTCTTCTTGAAGGACCCTAAATCGAATTGTGAATGAGCTTATTTATAAAGTCTATTTTGCTATACCTACTTACACATACATAACCCCACAGGTGTATACAGCCGAGTGACAGAAATAACGAACTGGGTGGAAAAAACCATATCGTCGAACGAGGCGTCCAGTGTTCCTGAATTAAAGGCGAAGATTGAGAAGGCCAGGCAAAGAGAGAAGGAATTGCAGAAGTAAAATTATTGTCAATATTTCTTAAAGTTCCGTAACTTGCGACTTTGTATAGCTGTGTGTTGCGTTCTTCATGCAGTGGGTGCTGCTTGGAGCGCGTACAAATTAAGTTTTTTTTAAACTTCAACATTTTAATGTAAAGTGCTGACGTAGTCCGGACGTCATTGTTGACATACAACACATATTTGTGTATGAAATATCTACATAGATACAACAATAGAGCAGTGTTGGCTAGTGCCTTCAGCGTGCGACTCTCATCCCTGAGGTCGTAGGTTTGATCCCAGGCTGTGCACCAATGGACATTGTTTCTATGTGTGCAAAGAACATTCGCTCGAACGGTGACACTAGTCAACGGCGTGCGTCAGGCACAGAAGGCTACACCTACTTACCTATTAGATTACCAAATGATTATGAAACAGATACAGCCACCTGAGGCCCAGACCTAAAAAAGGTTGTAGCGGCATTGATTTATTTTTTTAGATACAACAATGGACCAAAAAACTAAATTACAAATATAAATACAGTAACAAAAGTGTTTGGAATTTCTGACATACAAAAAGATTCTTCTGGTGTTTAGTCGAGGTTGATATATATGACAAAGCAACACAAATTGCTGCATTAAAATTATTTTTCAGCTACATAAAGTCGCAATTATCAGGTTGTATTAAAATATATTGTGGTAACTGCAATATTCAACTGTAACCACAACTGAACGGGGAAATAAACAAATTAAAAGCCAAATTACTTTTGGAAAATTCTTAGTCGTTGAATGATTTTTTTTGTAGTATGTTAGTATGGCCTCAGATTGCCTCTGTTTCAGATCTCCATCTTTATTTTCTTGGGATGTTCTTCAAGAAGATAATTCTAGAAGCATATTTTTTTTTTACAAATATCTACCATTAGGTACTGATTACTCGGCATGCGGCAACTTGTATATTACAAACAAAACAATACATAGAAAAACAACAAAACATTGAACAGTAATAGATTAAAATATTTACATAAAGACTTACTATTTCTTACAGCATAGGGACTGACATGAAGCAGACAATTAAAAGCGTCTGTCAATATGCAGTTCATTAATTATTTCCATACATGTGTGCCATTTTCGAGAGGCTAGTTTTCGCTGAGGAGATGATGTACGGTCCACTAGGAGTTGTGACAGCTCCTACCAGTGGCCTAACTATACCATTTGGGCCCGTGGCAAATTCTTTTGATGGGGCCTTATTAGTCAAAATCGTCACGTTTTAATTTTAATAAACTTGAGATTTTCAGCGTACTCAATTACACGTTGTATATGTCCCACTAATGGCCATAGGCCTCCTTTCTTAGGCGAGAGGGGAATGGTCTGTAGTCCCCACGCTATGCGTATTGGAGACTTCACATTCATCCATAGAACATAATATATCTTGGAGAGGGGGCCCGTGGCATTTTGCCAGCCCTGCACCCTATTGTTAAGCCACTGGCTCGTACTGTTTATTTTTTTTTTATATACGATCAAATAACTCAAAAAAATTCCCAGATTCAAAGCACGCGTGGAGGACAAGAAAAATAAAATCAAGAATTGGTTACGCGAAACATTACACTCGCCAAGCTTTCTAGAATTAGCCAAGAAGAAGCTACAAGAAGCTGGATTCAACATTCGAAAGAGTTTCAGAAGAAACCTAATGGATGATAACACGCTGGATGAAGTTAATTTCGAGAATTTAATACATGATAGGATACTTGAGAGTGACTCCAAAAATGAAGCAGAGGTTTTTCTGAGTACGTTGGCACTGAAGGAGGTAATTAACGATGGACAGGATTGGAATAGTGAGAAGGTGATTGAGGCGCTGGTGATAAAATAAATCAAATAAATATTTTATTGTTTTGTGTCTGTACAACCCTTAATGTACTTATAATAAGAAATCAAAAGCGCAACGAGTACTAAAATATCCATCGTTTTTATTAGTGAAAACTAATACATACTAATAATAAAATATGATAGTAAATGTGCGTTATAATGAGTAATGTGTTTGTGTAATTACGCCCTCCAGCGTCAGATTTATACAACTATTTTATAACGTTCAATTCTCTAATTCTACCAAACAATATACTTTATTAGACCATTAAAATAATCTCTAACATATTTCTAATTAATTTTGCATTTAAATACTTGTTTGCATTTATTATTATTAGCGCCACTTTTACAAAAACTAATTTATTATAAGTTAAAATCAGCGCCATCTACTAGAAGTAATAAAAGTACTGCGTCATTCAATGAAACGCTTTGTAAAAGTTACGCTCAGCTAACACTAGATGGCGGATACAGTCTTGTATATAAAGACAATAGACCGAATCATCGAAATTAACATTTTAAAGTAGCTGCACTTCTTTTCATTAAATTTTATCTAATTAAAAATATAGCTGTCTTAGTCTTTAATCTTAATAAAATATTTTGATATAGTTATCGAAGAACTAAAAGTAATTATTATTTTTATGTCTGTTAGTAGATGTTTTATATGGCAGAAACAAATGCAGGCATTCTGCATTTCTCTCGTTGCACATAAAATACTTGATACACTTTATGTAAAATCAAAATGGGGTAATAGTAATTTATTTGCAAGAATATCGTACAAAAATGTTATAGTGGTACAATCTAAAGTTCTCATATTCTGCCACACATAATGGCGTGCTAATTTGTATTAAAAGGAATTTTACATTCATTATGAGTCATATTATCTTTATAGTCAATTCTTATATTATTTATAGTAACAAATTATTACATTATTAAAATATCTATCTATAATAGTAATAAAATATATGTTATCAAATTAATATCAATTATAATGTTTCACACAAATATTGATTAACACATTTTTTTTCCAAAAGTAAATTACAAATGAAGTACATTAAGTCGAGAAAATCCCTAGTAAGAAGGTATTATTATATTAGCTTATTTATTCCATTAAAAAATCAATAAATAGGCAGGAGTATATTGATATCTTACTACTAAGATACGTATCGTAGTAGCTATAGGTAGGCTAAAACGCATAATGGTCGTCATTTTATAAATAAACTTTTGAGATAAGAAAATATATTTTATGCCTAAGACCATGCATTTTATGTTGTAGCTAATAAGTTAAACTAGACTTATATAGATATTTCGATAATATTACAGGTTGTCATATTATATTTCAATCAAATCATCATTCAATCAATCAAACTACGAGCTAGTTAAATTTACTGTTAGACAAATACTTTTCATTAAATGAGATAAATTTAAAGGAATTTCAAGACCCCTTCGGGAACGATAGTTGACGTCGCGTAACCCACCCATGGAGTATGGCATAGACGTCATTGATAATACTTTAAAGCATATAGATGATCAGCCTTCTGTGACTCAACCGATCTTCTTCATGATGTTCTTTCACGGATGTCAGAATTGTGGAAAGAAAAACATGTTTTACACAGCTGGACGTACGAGTGACAGACATTTAAAATCGCTTGTTTAGTTCCCTCAATAGCCGTAGCGCTTTTGTCGCTAATTGGGATCACTTGATGCTTGATGATGATGATGATAACTCATTAAATTTGTGTGTTATATACTGCGAGATAATACCTGAGTCAGGGTTCCCAGCTCTTCCATAACAAACATAATATCAATTCAATAATTTAATTATATTTTATTTATTTTTTTAAAACTTACGTACGTTACGTGCATACAGCACGCGTGACGTATGAGTGAGTGTGTGAGTGAATGTGAGTAAGTTAGTGTAATGAGTAACTGCATGTTAGATAGCTATCGTTTATTAAAACCTTAACGTAACAATCAAATATAGTCAGTATTTACAATTTTCTGGGGTCACCGGTATCAACCAGGCGCCAACTTAAATCTTTATTTAGCGCCTGTGCACTTGAAACCCAAGGCCCAAGAGTCTCTACTCCAAAGGGAACAAAATCGAAGTTGGAGGAAATACTCTTATATAAAAAGACTCTTATTCTTTTTAAAATTATGTTATAATTACTGGTAACATTTAAATACATTAAAAAGTCGATATTTCACTGCTATCTGTAACATGATAATATTTACACGCGGTATCTATGTTTGCGATGCAAATGATTGCACTTCAGGAAAAACTGCAAGATCAAAGAACGATAAAAAATGCACTGACTGATAAAATTGCATTAAGGTCAATGCACGTGTTTATCAAAAGTACACCACATCACATATAATGCATTCTCTACAGTATATGTTTTTTGAAATCCCCCCAACTCTTGTGGTGTGTGGACCTTATTCACATATTTTGTACAAATATATATAATATTTATATATATAACATATATATATGTATATTACTTTGCCTATTCTACATTCATAGGCGAATGGGGGCCCGTCATCTCGCCTCCGCTACTGTCTTGTTGTTGGTTCGGAAATATTTCAGTGGGCAGCTAGTTTCACATAGTGATGGTGCGCACAAGAATAGAGCGTTCTTAAAGGCGGACATCGCACTCGCCAGTCCTCTGACATTGACAGTGTCAGATGAGCCTCCTGCCTGTTTGTTACATTAAAAAAAACCAGCTCTGGGGTTTAAATGTTTAAATAGCGCCTGTGCAACCCTTTGGCCCAAGAGTTTCTACTCCAAAGGGAACATAATAAAATTTGGAGGAAAACTGTTTATTTTCTGCCTGCCTTGCGATTCTGTAACTCACACAGCGGTTTTCGCATCGGCGGTCGCTCTCAAATCAGTCGTAAAGCAGTCATTTTATTTGGCATTCTGAAAAGGTGGGAGCTTGTAGTTTATTGTTTATAAGAATGCCAAATCATAAAATGACTGCTTCACGACTGATTTGAGAGCGACCGCCGATGCGAAAACCGCTGTGTGAGTTCGCAAAGTGAGTTACAGAATCGCAGGACTGCTCTGCCCCAGCTTCTGTGCTTGTGCGGGAGGGGAGACGGGGCTAACGTGTCCACACAAGTAACATCCCATACCAAAGCCCGTCCTTCTTTTTAAATAGATAAAAATCGTTAAAACTTATATGAACAATGATGTCATCTTTTGACTGATTACAGAAAAAATGTTTGAACTACTATCGGACAAAGCCTTTGAGGACTTTCACTTGTGCTAATTTTAATGCAAACTTTGTGTAATAATGCATCTTCCGGTGTAGAATTATAATAAATATACTTTAAGGTTTTCATTATTTATAAAAAAATCGGATAAACTTATCGAATCTCGGCTCTACCTTAAAACATCACCAACTTTTTTTCGACATATTTTCATCACTCGGTGATGTACCATGCAATAATGTGGTGTCTTTAACCCCATAGAAATTCATTCAAACATCACGATGTGAAATGAATGAAAGAAGGTACAAAGTTTTAGCTTGAACCCAACCTAACCTAATGTAATTCACTGGGAACTGAGATAATATCATTTACATCCAAAGCCATGCGCTTCCGTAATATTACTTGGGGTACTACATACAAGCTATAATGAATAGAAAAAAAATTGGAGTTATTTTAAGGTCATTCGACCAATTTACCAATTATATTTAGTAATAAATACATAATTGAATAGAAAAAAGAAAAAGAAAAAAATATTAATATTTTTTTAAGGAAATAGCAAAAAGGTTAGTCGACATCACAGGAGACCGAAGAGCTGGTAGCTACCTCGGACAAAGAATTTTATTAGTCTAGCTATTCAAAGGGGAACGTTGCCAGTATCTTCGGTACCTTGCCTAAAGCCCTTGCCCTTTAATAATATTTTAGTTATTATATTTTAAGGTTAGTTATTGTTTTTTTTGTTATTGAATAAAATAACGTTTGGATAATAATAGTAAAATAATAAAACTTATAAATTGTATATATTTTGTGTATACTGTTTGCATGTGTATCACATATTTAAGATTAATAAAGTAGTATTAATTGATGAAACTGGCAGATTTGTATTAAGAATGGCTATTATATCTGATTAGAAATTAACAATAGAAAATAATGGAAGCTGTCACAGGACACGCTGATCACAAAAACCAGCTTATCTGATGTATTAGATTAAGTTAGGTTAAGTAACTAAAACAAATTATAAATATATTTATATATATTTATTATACCGGGTGTCAGCAATAAAGGCTTTATAATAATAATAAGAGTCAAATTTTCAAGATTACTTTTATTAATCTTTATATATATCATTCGTAATACGTGTGTATGTCACAGAACTCCTCTTTAACGCCTGGACCGATTTGAATGATAGTTTTTGTATGAGTTTGGGGGCGCCCTGGATGATTTATATTATATATATCTAGGTTATTTATTTATACAGCAAATAAACAGCTGGTATATGTGTAAATCTTCTGTGCGTAAGTTAACTCCTAAACGTCTGGACAGAATTGAATGAATTTTTTTGTGTGTTCAAGTGAACTTTAAATAAACAAAATATTAATTAAACACAATATACATTTATAAACGTAAATAAAAGAAAGAAAACAGTAAAAAGAATTCACATTATCTGTCAGTTCTTAAACCAAGACCAAAGAGATAACGAGAACTGGCAATAAATTCCGCATATCGTTGGCAATCGAAGAAATTTAACATCATAAAAATGTGAACAAAAACCAAATTAAACAATTAACGTTAAAACCTAATGAAGTATTAGTTACTAAATGGAAATCAAAAGGTTTTCGTGCGAAATGGACCGAAAAACCGGTAAATTGGCAAAAATAAACGAATCCAAGAAGTGGGCCAACAACGTGAAGGAAATGATCCGCTGTGGCCATTCTGCACGCTCTTGCGTAAAACTGGTTGCAGAGATAGATTATACAGGCTGTAGTCATATGGCTAGAAAAAGAAGAGTGCTTTTAACGC